ATTTAAACCTGTGGTAATTTAATATCGGTTATTTATTTACTCTGAAGAAATGACTTACATTAGGTCACGAAACATCAGAAATATAATTCACCTACTCATTAGGATATAACAAATTGTATACTTATTATCAACTGTCTACCCAATACTGAATTTAATTTAAATGATCAAGTCCAACTTTGGTATTTTTATATATCCATGTGTATTGTTTAGCTGTAAAATGGCATTATATTAAATAGTATGAGGAGAGGGTAAGGGGTTCTCAAGAACAGTTGGATATCGAGCTTTTTTTTCTGTTTATTTAGCAAGGGGAATGTTGCATATAAAAATGTGATTTACGTTGAGGACTTTATTTTAATTATTCTAAAGTTATACATATAGTTGTCTTTTATGAACATTCTACTATAAGTTATTCCAACTTATTGAATGAGCAAATCGAAAGGCGGATACAGCGACAGTTAGAGCTTGAAATAAGATTTTCGATGAAAATTATGATCTTATAGGCAATTTTCATTTATTTATTTTACTATCAGCCCTTAAATGTCCTGGAACGGCCGAGGGTGGGAAGAATCATCTCTCCCTCTCCAAATGCACATGGCCACGCATGTACAACCACTGACAGGGAAGTTCTTCTCACTGCCTGCTCGTGGCATTAATGTTGTTTACGAAAGTGACAGGACGAAAAGTGAATGTCCGGCGCTCTAACCTGGTTGGTGGATACGGATGATCCACCTAGGGAGTTGGAAAACCTTGATTCCTAACCAACGGTGCACATGGGCTCCAGTATCCTGAGGAAACAAATGGCGTATGAACCTATTGTTGGCCATCGGCTACCATAGGGATGTATCTCCTGACGTCGCTCCACTCTCTTGTGGATTAGATTTTTAGATCAAAGGGTCAGGGAGTGGCCTCACAAGAAAACCCTGTCAGTATCACAGCACACACACAAATTAAGTGGCTTGCGTAGCGCATATGTATTCGGTCTATGTATGTCAGTGGATCAGTGATATCTATCACTTTCTTTGTCTAGTGTGAAATAGTTTTATTCAACAAACATTTTCATATTTGTATATGCTAGGCTACTACTAGTTACAATTAATGTTTAGGCGAACTAGTTATAATTAAATGATCGTTGATTAATAACCAACGTTATTTTTGTTTAGTCTCACCGTGTTCATCGAGTCCTATTAGTCAATTCGCAATATGGTTACTAGTCTTAGTGACTCGATGTTGTGTTCATTTTATTTTGTTTTTCGGTGTTTGTAAATTAGTCCACAGTAAATCCTGTATCTATGGTTCGTGCTAGTTAGTATTCATCAGCAACGTGTGCCTACAATTAACAGAACTCAATCAGTACTAAATAACTAGACAAACACGATATTTTTCATTACTCAATGCTCAAACATGTTACATATCTCTATCCTACAGGAGGTTAATTATGGCTCAAATGATGCTCAGTGATGCCGATTCAAATCTCACAGGGATCATCAGTTCACCTAAGACTTCAAATATTTCTTCTTGACAAGTCCAAACTAGCAAAATGCTTAGTTTCAAGGTGTTGTGCTATCTATGCCATGGCTAACTAACAGGAACTAGTTATACTATCTACTTTACTAAAATCTCTATAGCTACAGACCGTTTTATTCTCTATATTCATCATCAACTAATGATCGTTGAATTATAGTTGTACATTTTGAACATCGACATTTTAAACATACAATAAATATTACTTCCAATATTTCCTTTAGACCTATATTAAAAACTATATTTCACCTGATATTGTTTACTTATATCTTCCCAACGGTACTGGATTCGAGTCTCAGAGTGAACACGTACATTCAGTTAACGAGTCTCAAATAGGACGAAACACACGTTAAACTGCATTCTACTACTAGACGCCATTTATCTTTGCTTATAAAATTAAACTATATTTATTGTTTATATACAGATCACAAAATCCCTATCCTTAACATACTAGTTTCTCTTAGAAACAAAAAAAAGCGAGAGAGAAAAAAATCGCTTTTGTTTGTTGTTGTTGTAACAACCTAAAACGTACAAATACACAGTTCATAGAAGTACTTTTAGTGAATACGATTCTAACCCAAGTGATTTATGTATTTAACTAAGAAGAATGTTTCTATGCAGCTAACTTCCTTGGTCGTTTTGTCTATTATTATTATTATTTAAATACAAAGAAGCCTATTTTCTCCTTGATTCATACACAATTAGTTTACATGTGATACTATTGTGTATATCATATGATCAAAGCATAAAATTTATAGTAAAAAAAACAACGAAAAAAACTACCATCATTGATCTCTTCTTTGAATCATATATCGGTTTTCTGATTCTTCCTTCCTGTGTGTGTGTGTTTCCTTTTATTATGCATTGAATTATTTAATACGTGAATTCATGAGTTAATTAAAGTTAGATCACTATGAAAAACCTGGAAGCACTGGATGGTCGTTTCGTCCTAATGTGGTATTCCTCAATGGTGCTCACCCAAGATCTGCTCATTAGTAACTGTCTTCAAGAGGTATTTCCTGGAGTTCTAGTGAGAAGTCGTGACCAGTGGAGTTCAATCAGGTCTGTTGTGAGGCGGTGATTCACTGAAGACAATGGTGGATGGTGGTGAAATTTCGTGGATTGGTTGAAGTTACACAATAACACTGTTGAACGCCGGCCTGCCCAGTGGTCTATAGGTTAACCGTTCTCACGCGAGACCAAAGACCTTAGGTTTGAATCCCGCGAGTGAACCGTGGATATGCACTGCTGAGGAGTCCCACAGTAGGACGAAACGGCCGTCCAATGGTTCTAGGTTAACCATGGTGGTCTAGCTCTAATCAACTCATGACTTCAACTCTTAAACTACCACAATCAACACAAAACCCTATTTCTGATAATTGAATTAGTTCATGCAATTGGTTCCCTTTATGAATTTAAATAGAGCAAGAACAAACATTGATGCAGAATAGTATGAATTCATATTATTTCGAGGTTTCTCGTCAGCTGCTTAGTGCATTCAATTTGTGATTTGGTGACTCGTCGAAGATTTTTTAACGAAGGAGGTATTTTACAGGCACGGACAGCTTTAATAATGTGACGAGGAAAGCAGCCATCATTAAGGCAATGTGACAAAAACTTTAATCTTGTTGTTTCTCTCGATATCCTGCAACGAACTGTCACCAACTTGTTGAGTGACTTGAAAATGTGGACAGGGAGACGGCTTTTCAGAAATTTCATGCAATTGGTTCCCTTTATGAATTTAAATAGAGCAAGAACAAACATTGATGCAGACGAGGAATGAATTCATACTATTCTGGATCAATGTTTGTTTTTGCTCTATTTGAATTAGTTCACTTCTTCAAAGTTGAATAGTACATTTTCATGCTAGAAAGCCCTATTTTTCCAATATTTTATTTGAAAAGTGAGGTTAATGGCTTGAGAATCTGAAATTTGATTGGTTTCTTGAACTAAATCTTACATTAGTTAAAATAATGGGTTCTTAATGTTTGCCGGGTAAATCGTACGGTACGATACGAACAGGATCGTGGATGTGCACTGTTGAGTAGTCCCATACTAGGATGAAATAACCATCCAAGACTTCCAGGTTTTTAATGGTGGTCTAGCATCAATTAATTCGTGATTTTAATCAGAAAAATGATAGTAATCCGTAGTTTTGGATTGATCATATGTAATCAACCAAACATGGCCACTCGTATATAGCCTCCGCCAGGGACGTCCTACTCATTGCCTTCTCGTGGCGGGGGTGTTGTTTACAAAAATGAGAAGACGAAAAGCGAATGTCGGGCGCTTTAACCGGGTTGGTAGACATGGAGAGTCCACCTAGGGGATTTGGAAAACCCTGATTCCAAAAACCAATGGTGCACATGGGCTCCAGTATCCTGCGGGAAAAAATGGCGTATAAACCAATCGTTGGTCACCGGCTACCATGTGACTGCATCTCCTTACGATGCTCCACTGCCTTGTGGATCAGACCTTCAAGTCGAAGGCTCCTGGTGTGGCCCCCTAAGAAAATCACCTGCTTCGGCTTGGGCACCCGGGCAGTATCACAGCACTCACACAAATCAAATGAGATTTGTGTGGCGCATATGTATTTGGTGCCTTCTTGCACCAATATCTATTTGTTAAAATAAATAAAACAAGAGTCGTATTGAATTCAAATCGTAGAGTTGAATTCTGGTAATCAATACAAGATACCATTTCATTAAGGGTGTATAGTTAACAAGTATTATAGTATTCACTTCCTATTTGATTAAGTTCACAAAATGATTACTTCCTATTTACAATCTCGGAGAAAGTCATTAATATATATGTATACAGTACAGTAAGCAATTAAACAGTTGAATTATTTCAGGAATATATATATGTTTTATAGAAATACCGACTTAATCATGTGAATTATATTTACCGCATACTGAAATTACTCATATTCCAAATTAACCTTATGATTTTGTCATTAGTTGTAATGTATTAAAAAACAACTGGTAATATTAACCAACAAAGTGATTCTCATATAGTTATTCACATTTGGTTGATCACTGGGTGGTGATTAATATCATATGTGTCAAGTTCTTCTTAGTGTAGATCAAATGTTATTGACCAAGTTGCAATGTGGCTACTAGTCTAGGTGACTCGACATTGTATACACTATGTTTAGATTAGATGGTGGTTGGAGGTAGTCAACAGGAAACCATGGAATTGGTTTTCGTGCTCTTTGGCACTCATCAGCAAGTTGTACCTGTAGCATTCGATCTGCACTAAAAAGTACTTGATACACATGACATTGAGGTTACAGAGATGGTACAATCCACTGACTCAACACCTTACATGATTCCTTAAAAAAATAATTTCACACTATTTGTCATCAATATTTTACGCATATTTCTATCTATGATCTTGTAATCCCCTCACATCTATATATTATATATGTTTTGCTTTGTTGTTGTTTTTATTCACCCTCTAAATACACACATATATAGGAAAGTATGCTTAATGGACGTATACATCCAGTTGGACAAGTTGAAGGATTTTCAATCGAATTAGGCGCTAGTGGTTCATTCTATCCAAATCATATACGTCTTCCAATGAAAGCATATTTTTTCAATTTATCTGATGATAATGCACCATCACCGTATTTAGGCTATGCTGACTTAAAACAATTACCTAGTAATAAAGGTTATCATATACCGAAGAAAGGTTCTATTCAAGTAAGTTCATTGTTGTTGTTTGTAAGTTGTTATCAATCATTTAGTTAATTAGATAGTTAGTTATTTTGTTTAGTTAATGCATCTAACTCATTATTCTATGATACGTTAATGATGACCTATATTGTCTCAATTCTTAATCTTTTCTATAATCACTAATAGTATTACTACTTCTACTACTCTAGGATTTGCTTTGATAGTATCATCTCACTACATTTTCTTGATGGAGTTTTGTTCTCTGAGCTATATGGTTCAGTCGTGGAGCTTTCATTGTTCTTCTGAACGACATCATCAGCACAAACTTCAGATACAAGTCTTTCTAGCTCAGAGAACAAAACCCCATCGAAATAATCCACCTGAAATACCAAATGCCCTGGTATGGCCGAGAGTGGGGTGGGTCCGCCCTCCCTCTCGAAATGTTCTCACACGGCTACGCGTACACAGCCTCTGCCAGGGAAGTCCCACTCACTGCTTTCTCGTGGCATTACTGTTGATTACAAAATTGAGAGAACGGAAGACAAATGTCCGGCGCTTTAACCGGATCCCAAACCAATGGTGTACATGGGCTCCAGTATCCTGCGGGAACAAATGGGGTATGAACCAATCATTGGTCACCGGCTACCATGGGACTGCATCTCCTCACGATGCTGCACTGCCTTGTGGGTCACACCTTTAGGTTCAAGGCTCGTGGTGTGGCCCCCTAAGAAAACCACCTGCTTCGGTCTGGGCACCCGGGCAGTATCACAGCCCATACACAAATATGACGAAATGTCGATATTTATGGAAAATACTTGTCTTGCTTCGATTAACAATCAAACGATTCACACTATTATTATTATTATCTCGACGTCACTTATTCACTCTCTTTTATTACCACTCTGCGTATCCTTATTTTTCGACTTATACAGCAGCTCGCCTATGGTGGAAACTCGGTTCTATCTAAACGTTCTCGAGTCACTGCCTGGTTGAAAATTGTATGCTACCACCAAATACGAATACTGAATCATTTTTTTCCGAAACCACGTGCACCATTCAAACTGGCTGCCTTCAACGTTCGCACACTTATGCAGGTCGGACAACAGATAGGGCTGGCTATGTCTTTGGAAAGTCTTAATATCGACGTGTGTTGTCTATCCGAGACCCGCATTCAAGACTCTGGCGAAGTACTACAAATTCGATCTCCATCTGTCGCTTCGAAAAGCTTGTTTTACCTGCGCTTATCCGGGGACCCTGTGGCATCTTCGTCTGGTCTTGCTGGCGTTGGTGACGCATTAAGCGCTCGAGCTGAGGTAGCACTAATCGATTGGATCCCCATTAACAGTCGGTTATGTGATGTTAGATTAGAAAGTTCCATCAAAGTGAGAAGAAATCGGCGTGAGAAACGATGTCTTTTCGTCATCTCCGCCTATGCTCCGACAGATTGCAGTCCGGATGCAATCAAGGATGAGTTTTACCACCAGTTATCAGTTCTTCTCCAGAAAGTGCGTTCGACAGATATTGTAGTACTAGCCGGAGACTTGAATGCTCAGGTCGGGCGTCTAGGCACAGACGAGAGTCGTTTAGGTGGCCGATGGTGACTCGTTGGTCGCAGGTCAGATAACGGGGACCGTCTACTGCAACTTTGCACAGACCACAACCTGTTTCTGGCTAGCACTAACTTTCGGCACAGTCATCGCCGATGTGCCACCTGGCGTCCTCCCTCTGCATCTCAAGCCTGGACTCAGATTGATCACATCGCGATCAGCTGCCGCTGACGTGGTTGTGTACAAGAGTGCCGCTTCTTTTGGAGTACCTATCTGGACTCTGACCATGCCTTGGTCTGCGCCAATCTTGCCCTACTTTTCAGTGGACAACGAAGTGACCATCAACGGATTGATATTAGCAAGCTGGTTGCAACTTCTGTTACAAGTAAGTATCGAACCGAGCTAGCCTCTAGGCTAGCTACCACTCCACCGAAAAGTATAGATGAGCATTGGTTGCAATTGCATGACGCCATGAAAATGGCGGGTACAGTCAGTTGTGGGTTCGTGAAACGTCCCGCTTTTAAGCACTGGGTTTCTTCAGGCTCCTTACAACTTATTGAAGCCCATCGCTCTACTCCGGGTGACCGTGAGTTTGACCACAAACGAAGGATGTTACGTAAGGAAATCGGGCAAAGCTTGCGTGTAAGGACCGAGAAGCCTGGTGGTCGATGCGTGCTAATGAGCTGGAAGCAGCAGCTGCATCTGGTATCTACCGGAAGCTCTTCCAACTCATCCGAGCCACTGGCAGCAAGAAGTCTGGTGTGAGCGAAACAATCTGCGAGGATGATGGGATGCCAATCACTAACATCCATCAGCGCATTAGACGATGGGCAGAATTCTTCGAAGAGCAGGTCAACTGGCCTGCTGCTCCGGCAACATCGGTCAGACTGTCCTACCCTCCATTGCCGGTGACGACTGATCCACCAAACGAGGAGGAAGTCCGCATGGAACTCCAACTCTTGAAGCGTTACAAATCACCTGGCCCAGATGACTTACCTCCTGCTCTTTTTAAAGATGGTGGTGACTTTTTGACTAAGGAACTGACAACGTTGTCTACAAAGGTTTGGGAGCTAGAGAGTGTACCAACGTCATGGAATGAGTCGATAGCTGTCCCTATCGTTAAAAAGGGTTCACGTCGTTCTTGTAACAACTATCGGGGGATAAGTCTACTTCCGATTGCGTCCAAGCTATTGGCTTCGTAGGTTGTTCAAAACCCGAGAAAGATTGACTCGCGAGGAGCAGGCTGGGTTTCGTTCTGGTCGAGGATGTATTGATCATATCTTTACCCTCCGCCAAATGTTCGAACACCGCCATACTTTTCAAAGGCCAACAATCGTAGTGTTTCTTGACATCAGGGCTGCCTTCGATTCGTTGGATAGGACTGTTCTCTGGGATTGTCTGTTGAAGAAGGGTGTGCCTGAGAAGTTTATTAACATCCTAAAAGCCCTGTATAAAAACACCTCAGGCAGAGTGAGGGCATACAACCACCTTTCTCCATTGTTCCATTCGAGTAATGGGGTTAGGCAGGGTTGCCCAATCTCACCATTCCTCTTCAACTTTGCCATCGATGACATTCTGGAAACAGCTCTGATGAATGTAAGTAATGGTGGTGTGGATCTGTTGCCTGGAGAAAGACTTCTCGACCTTGAGTATGCGGACGATATTGTCTTACTGTGCGATAATGCCCAAGGCATGCAATCCGCACTTAATCAGTTGGCAATCAATGTCCGTAGGTATGGTATGTGCTTTGCACCTTCGAAGTGCAAAGTACTTCTACAAGACTGGCAGGATTCTAATCCTGTACTCACCCTGGACGGTGAGCAGATAGACGTAGTTGAGAAGTTCGTGTATCTGGGTAGCTGCATAAGTGCTGGTGGGGGTGTGAGTGATGAGATCAATGCACGAATAGTGAAAGCCAGAGCGGCTTATGCCAATCTGGGCCACCTTTGGCGCCTTCGTGATGTTAGTCTGGCTGTAAAAGGCCGGATCTACAACGCGTCGGTGAGAGCAGTTTTGCTCTATGCTTGTGAAACCTGGCCTCTCCGAGTTGAGGACGTTAGACGACTCTCTGTGTTCGATCATCGCTGTCTCCGAAGGATTGCTGACATTCAGTGGCAACACCATATCAGTAATGCAGAGGTCCGGCATCGTGTGTTCGGGCACAGAGATGATAATTCAATTGGTGTCACCATCTTGAAACACCGACTTCGGTGGCTTGGACATGTTCTCCGAATGTCGTCCCAGAGAATTCCACGTCGTGCATTATTTGCCGACTCTGGGACTGGTTGGAAGAAGCGGAGAGGTGGTCAGTGCATGACATGGTGTCGTGGCATGAAAGAAAGCTGCGAAGGACTGGCTTCTGTCGGTCCTTCACGACTCCCTGGTTGGGGTCCGAGAGATGGTGCTACACAGTGGCTAGAGACGTTATCAGATATGTCTCAGAATAGAAGCCAGTGGCGATCCTGCTGTAACCTTCTTTTACTTTCTTCATAAAAAGTGGTTGTGTCTCCCTTACCTGAAAGATTTCTTCTGATTGTTGTGTTTAACTGACTGACTAGCTGACTCATTTGTACATAGATCAAAAGTAGCATTAACTAGCTTTTAACTTTGAAAATCGTATAAGCTTTAGTCCCTCTATAATAGAGAATGAATTCTATCGAGATCATAGAGATATGTTTTGTTATTGATTGAAACTGTCAAACAGAATCATAAAGTTTTTGTTTGTGTTAAGTCAGTTAACTTAGTGACTACATTCATACTTGATCATAACGGAAACTGATCTTCAAAGTGCAACATCCATTAATATTATTACGATTCCAGCCTCACCTGTTTACGTTGGGGATATTCAGTTAACAAATGAAGTCAGTAGTATAGAATATTCTAAGTACAAAACAGTATTAGTCAAAATTTACGAAGATCAGCCCTTGTGGATTGGTGTCTAATAAGATCGTAGCACAGACCTAGAAAGTCCACTTGGCCTTTATCAAGATACATTATCTATGATGTAGGCAAGATGTTCTCCCAGAAGCCGAGTTTACTCAATAGCAGTCCGCTCTTTATTACTGTATGGTTGTGAAACATGTTCTGTTAATTTAGGAGGTATGTTCAGGTCTCAGGTCTTTGGTCATAGACATCTTATAAACACTGATCGCATATCGCTAAACGAATGATTGGACAATACTTCAATTAGGCATACGGTACTAGGCAAAGATAGCAAAAGGACTGATGAGTTAGTAAATTTTCGTTGACTGCGGTGATGAGGTTATGTATTTATTACTTAGATCTAACTAGCACTCTTTTCAATTGTCAATATTTTTTGATGTCAAAGTAGTTCGGAACAAAGCTAGACTTACTTACTTACTTACTTACGCCTGTTACTCCTCGTGAAGGAGCATAGGCCGCTTACGAGCATTCTCCATCCAACCCTGTCCTGGGCAATCCTTTCTAGCTCCGTCCAGTTGTAATTCATCCTTTTCATAT